CCTGCCCGGCTGCGGCCCCACCGCACTCCGCTGGTGCCCGGCTTCCTGCTCCGTCGACGGGCGGTCCCAGTGCCGGGCGGGGGCGGCCGTCCTGACCAAGGGCCTCACCTTGTAGTCCAGGTTGGGGGGGATCAGGAAGCCGGGGGCCAGCAGGGTCTCCCCCTCCAGCATCTCTGCCCGGATGTACTCGCCCAGGTAGGTCCTGCAGAGCCGGCGGTCCCAGTCGTCCGTGATGTGGCCCCCGTACATGATCTCCCCGAAGAGGTAGCGCAGGTCGTCCCAGGGGACCTGGGGGGCGGCGGGCGGCGGCAGTCCGGGACCGTCCTGCCCTTTTCGGCACTGGCCGCCCGGCTTGGGTGGACGGGCGCCCCCGGTCTGCAGGGCAGGGGTCCGGCCCCGGCGCCCCGCCTGCTCCCCCCAGTCACCGCACGCTCGGGCACACGGGCCCCCCTGCCACTGTCCACTCAGCCAAAGCAGCTCAGCTCCACGTTGATTCTGTGCTGCCCACGAAGGCCAGCGGGAGGGTCAGCAGAGAGCTTCGGGGCCGGCTCGGCTGCCCCCGCTACCATCGCACAGGGCTCCCCCGAGGCTGGGCTGCCCTCTCGCAGCAGAGACCCTCAGTGCCGCCCCCACGGGCGCCGCCCGGCACAGGCCAGCGGCCTCCGTGTGTGACGCAGAGTCCGGCAGCACGGGGTTGCTCAGGGCACGCCGCGTCCTGAGGCCAGCAGCAGCTGCCGGCCTGGCCACCGCAGGTCCGGCAGCGGCCCGAGCGTGTGCGCTGCCCAGCGGGGAGTGCCGGCTGCGCGTGGCTTCTGTGCGGTTTACTTCTCTGCTCCTGGGCACGCTCCCTGGCGGGGCCCCTGCCGCCGGCCCCCAGACCCACGGCCCGGACGATGGTCCCCGTGCCCCTGGGGCACGCTCGGGCCTGCTCTTGTCTTTGCTTGGGGGGCAGCACTGAGCCCCTCACCCAGGGGGGCGCAGACGCGACCTCGGGCAGGGCCGGCCGTGGGCCGGTGGCGTCCAGCGGGCCTGGCGCCC